AGTGCTGCACTTTAACCCGCTGCGCCACCAGGGAGGGCCCACATATTTGATCTTTATACACAGAAGTTAAGTTCTCTCTCTATATGGAAGTTTATATATATGTCATATATACTCTTCTGCAGCTTGCTTTTTTCACTTCACGTGGGTTAGGTGTCACTGTCAGTCCTCACAGGCTTTCTCATTCTTCCTTACAGATAAGCAGCCAGTATTTCATGAGCCCAGCTGTGCTGGAGCCTCAAAGCAAATATTCAACTGAATTTTGTGTGCTTCAGTTATTTTTGGGCTTTTCTGGGCCAGCTTCCCTTTTGCTAGTGGGGGCAGTGGACCCCACTAAACACAGGACAGTCTGTAACCCAGGGTGGATGGAGAGTGTTAAAGAAAGGGTGGGAGGAAGGAGTACCCCTTACCCATGCCTAATGCTTCTGGGCTAAGTAGACCCAAGAACATTAACAAGTTTGAAAGATAAGAAACAAGGGAGGAAAAACATCCAGGATTGACTCTGCTCCGTTGGCTGACATCCGCACCCCCTTCCTTTAAGGGTCTTGGCCTCGTTTCCCCCCGGCCTGTGTTTCACGTGGAGTGGTGTGCTAACCAGTGTGTCTCGCAGCTGGAAAGGAATGTCTGTCACGCTTTCACGCAGTCTTTCCCTCTCAAACAGGTTGCTCGGGAGAGCGGCCCCCCCCACATGAAGAGCTTTGTGACCAGGGTGTCAGTTGGGGAGTTTGTGGGGGAAGGTGAAGGGAAGAGTAAGAAGATTTCAAAGAAGAATGCTGCTATAGCTGTGCTTGAGGAGCTGAAGAAGTTACCCCCCTTGCCTGCAGTCGAGCGAGTAAAGCCCAGAATGAAAAAGAAAACGAAGTCCATAGTCAGGGTAAGAGTCTGAGTGATTGGGGTGGGAGGTGCGTTCGTTGCTCAGCTGAGAGGGCTGTTTGGTCAAAGGCAGCAGGAGCTGATGTGCCATGTGCCAGGCCTGGCAGACCCTTCATGGGCATCACCTTTTGTACCCCTCCACCCATTGCCCCCACCCCAAAAAGGGGACAGGAGTCTGGAGACTTTCATAAATGCTGGGATTTATTTGCTCTGTACGCTTGTCAATACAGTTTTATCTTACTACAGATGCCCACTTGTCCTTCTACAAAACTATATACATGTTCAAAAGTGAGTGTTTTTGCAGTTTTTTTTTGTTTTGTTTTTGTTTTGTTTTGTTTTGTTTTGCTTACTATATCCTGGAAATCACTTGTAACTAACATGGCTTCTTCATTAATTGTTCCTCACGACAGAGTAGCCCAGAATATGGCCAGGGGATGAACCCAATTAGCAGATTGGCCCAGATTCAGCAAGCAAAAAAGGATAAGGAGCCAGAGTACATGCTCCTCACAGAGCGAGGCCTCCCACGCCGCCGCGAGTTTGTCATGCAGGTGGGTGAGCTGTGGTGGGCGTCCTCTCAGACCGCAGGTCTCGGGGCCTGAGTGTTCACTGACCCTTCCTCAGGAGGCTCGTCCTGGGACACCAGCGGGGCAGCTGTGTCAGCTGACCATCGGGGCATAGTGCCCCCATTTAGAGGCGTGATGGGTGCTGGCATTGTGAGTGAATTCTTCATGACATCATACATTCTTTTCCGAAGATAACTTTTACAAACAGTAGCAAAAGGTCTGTTCCTGCTTTTCCGATCCTTCCGTCACATCTGGAGTCCAGCACTGACTCTTCGGAGATTGGAATGGACAGAGTGTCTTTCCTTGGACTGGCTTATTAAACAGTGGCTCGCATGGCCATCATAATGGCGATCATAATTGTAGTTCTTGGTGACCAGCAGAACACCGCACTCCAGAGAGCAGCTCACAGCACGCACATGCATCGCGTCACAGTGTCAGCCCACCAGCCCGGGCCGTGAGCCCCGCGTGTGGGGGAGGGCAGTGTCGGGAAGGGCTGACGTGTTTGCACTCTGCACACGCATGTGTCACGATCCGTCTTCCTGATAGAAAGGACATGTGACACGACTTACCTGTAAAATACTCTTACCACGTTCCTGCTCCTGGGACTCCAGTGTGACCACACCAGCGCTGTAGCGACAGTGTCATGCAGATCAGTGTCCAGTTCAGCAGAGAAGTGGCTCTGACATTGACGAATGAGTAGCTCTCGGGTGAGGACAGGCTGCTATTTTGTTTACATTAACAAGAAAGAGGAAAGTAGCACAAACCCTCATTTATAAACCGTATGACAGCCCTGCTAACTCGGGTAATTTTCAAGAATTGGAAGAATGCTTTCGGTACTGGGCAGCGCCACGGCTGCAGACCTGACTGCTCTTACTAAACTGTGTTAGCATTTTCTCGTCCCCGCATTACGTGTAGAATAGACCATTCAGAAAAACACTTAGGCCTTGATGTGCAGTTTGCTGCCTTCCTGGTGCAGTTACTCCCACCCTGAACATGAGTGGCACCCTGCTCCCAGAGTTGGGGAGAGATGTGCGGCTGACACCCTTGGGTGGCAGACACCCACGTGGAGAGAATCTCAGAAGCACAGAGAACTGCACAGTGTGGTCGTGTCAGGAAGCGATGAGCTTTCAGCTCAGCAGCCATTACCTTGTCTGCGGCTTAATCGTAAACTGGGTTAATTCCGCATTTAGGAATTGTCACCTTCAACAGTGACCAGTGTAACCCGGCTGTTTCATAGTTGACTCGAACAGGCTGGTGTGAACCAGCTGCCCACACCCGCAGCCGCCCAGGGCTGTCTGTTTCGCGCGCGCTCCAGGCTGCTCTGCGAGTGCAGGTGAGTGCTCAGCTGCGTCCTGGTTCTCCACGCAGGTGAAGGTGGGAAACCACACCGCAGAGGGAGCCGGCACCAACAAGAAGGTGGCCAAACGCAACGCAGCAGAGAACATGCTGGAGATCCTCGGTTTCAAAGTTCCGCAGGCTCAGCCCACCAAGCCGGCCCTCAAATCAGAGGAGAAGGTGACTGCTTGGGGCTCTGTGTCCTTGCTCTCTAGTTGCAAGACGACCTCCTCGCCTCAGCCTGGGGGACTCGGCACTTCCAGGGCGAGCTTCAGGGCAAGGACTCCTCCTGGCGTCAGGCGGCCCTGCCGAGCGACGTCTTTCCATTCGGACCGTTAGAATGTGGTCAGAAGGGGACTTGCATGTCCGTGGCTCCAAGCATGGCTCTGGGTTAAGTCCTTGTTGTTTCGGTGTCTGTGTGGTCTGGGTGCTTTGCTGGAGGCAGCTTGCTCCTCTCCGTTTGCAGGAGGCGGTGAGACTGGGCGGGAGCCCCCGGAGTGCGCGGTTCTGCCTCCATTTCAGACCCACCGCCTGCAGACCGCCCGTCCCTGCTCCCAGGGTGTAGAGCCATCTTCAGTCTTTCTGGCCGAGAGAGCGTGATGTTAGAGTCAGGTCCGAAACCTTAGTTTAGGTTTGGGGTTGCTTTATTTTTTTTTAATAATTGAGCCCAAGATAAAAATAATCCCCTATTAAGAATTTTATTTTGCCAAATTTAGCCTTTCACTCAAGCAGTGTAAGTCCTGACAGACCTTGTTTCTAGTCACTGAGTGAGTGGTCCTGTCAGGAGAAACTTGAAAGCACCAAGACTGATTCTCACCTGCCAGTTGTCAGAGAAGAGACATCCACCTGGCCATGTGGTTAATTATCAGGCCCCGCACAGTCATCAGATAATCTGCACGGATCTTGGACATGGCTTTTGTGCTTTTCATTCCAAAGTCTCAGCACATTCATAAGCATCCTTGCCATCTCAGAAAGGAGACCTCTTGTTTACTACATTTCTGTCTAGTAACACTTTACCGAGTCGGTTTTGAAAATGTCACCTTATCTATTAATTGGACATTAACTCCAGGAACTGTTATTGGTCAGCTCCAATCTAAAAGCTTCTTTGCCCACTTTGTGGGTTCTACCCGTCTGTCATCTGGCTCCTCTGGTGAAAACGCCCTGTCTGGGATGCAGAGTGCAGTGGCTGTCAAGCCGTCTCTGTGGGGAGGGAGCGGCCGGCCGCCAGGCGACCTCAGGTCGGCAGTGGGCAGGCTTTGTGGTAGGGCCTCTGTTGACTGCCTCCCCGCTTCATATTCTAGAAACTTACAAAGCCAAAGGTTGGTGCTGGGTGGTGGAGTGTTAGACAGCAGAAATTAATTTTAAAGTTTGATGCTCATAGTCTTTTTTTTTTTTTTTTAAAGACACCAATAAAGAAATCAGGGGATGGAAGAAAAGTAACGTTTTTTGAACCTGGCTCTGGGGATGAAAATGGGACTAGTAAGTGCAATGTCAACCTTGTCTTGATCTGAATGATTCTGGGATTTGCATGGTTCCTGGTGCCTGCAGGTTGCTGCAAGTGTCCGTGGGCCTTGTTCAGCCTAGTGCCGCTGCGCGTGCTGAGGGCGGGCCGGCGTGGGGCACACACGTTGTCCCTGCAGTGTCTGCTGTCTTGTGTTGACTTGTCTGTGCCCCTTCCTAGGCAATAAAGAGGATGAGTTCAGGATGCCTTATCTCAGTCACCAGCAGCTGCCTGCTGGCATTCTCCCCATGGTGCCCGAGGTCGCCCAGGCTGTAGGAGTCAGTCAAGGACATCACGCCAAAGATTTTGCCAGGGTAGCTCCGAATCCTGCCAAGGCCACGGTAACTGCCATGATAGCCCGTGAATTGTTGTATGGGGGCACCTCGCCCACAGCCGAGACCATTGTAAAGAGTAACATCTCTTCAGGCCACGTACCCCATGGACCTCTCACAAGACCCTCTGAGCAGTTGGACTATCTTTCCAGAGTCCAGGGATTCCAGGTAACTGGGTGGTATGAACTGTACTGCAGTGAAGCCATTTTGGGTTTCTCAGACAATGAACTTGCGCCTTTAAAAAAAATATCTATACACACTGGAACTGGGGTACAGACCAGTGGTGTGGGGGGTGAGAAGCCTTACCAGAGACAGAGTGGGGAGTAGAACAGGTAGATCAATGGAGTACACTGCTGAGGGGAAAAGCGGGCGGGTCAAGAGAGGTCTGCTGCGCCATGTGGGTCACTGCTGGGGGTTGAACTCATGCCGCAGTGGCTCCTGACAGCTTCATAGTGCTGTGCTTTTAACCCCTTGCACCAACAGGGTGGGGGGCTCTGTGCCTTGTTTTTTAAATCAAGTGTCTAGGGGGGCTGAGTGAAGGGAGCCTAGTGAAAGGGTGGTTCTGAGGATGGTGGGAAACTAGAAATGATTGCAAATCTATATAAGAGAAATCCTTGTTCTTTGATAAAAATTTAAAACTCTGAAGTCAGCTGTAATAACCTCTAGTGGTAGTTACAAATTTAGACTTCAGTGAGAGCAATGCTGACCACTCTCCAGGTAGGAAAGGATGTGATTTCTTCTGGACCAGGGTTTTTAAGTAGACATTAGGTTCCTGGAAGGTATTGGAAGCTAGTGCCTGGATTTCCGGCCTGTAGGTCATGGTTTCCATCAGCAGCAGGCCAGCTCACTCTGGCTGAGCAGAAGTTGATTGTGGGTAGAGCTGGTATAGTCGGGCTGAGGTGGAGAGTGAGGCTCCCTTCCTGTGTGCTGGGCCCAGAGCTGCGTTCCTGCGCCCCAGTCATACTCACCACTTCCCCACTCTTGCCTCCATTTTCTCCTCTCCCCTCCCTTAGGTTGAATACAAAGACTTTCCCAAGAACAACAAGAATGAGTTTGTATCTCTTATCAATTGCTCCTCTCAGCCGCCTCTGATCAGCCATGGCATCGGGAAGGATGTGGAGTCCTGCCATGACATGGTACGTCCCTCTGTGTGGGGCTCAGTTCCAGCTTGCTGCTGCTCAAAAAGGATGGATCTGCCTGTAACCTTGAGACCAGCTGATTATTTCAGATTTCATGTTTCTGACCCACTTTTTTACTGAAGATGTTGTCTTAGCTTAATTGGTTTCTCATGTTTACTCAGGTTGACTAGCTGTAACCAGCCCTTACCCACATTCATGGGGGTGGGGTGGGACTGACTGAATCCTGGAACATCTCAATATACTGTACTGAGTTGGTCTCTTACCAGAACAAGGGCAGCAGTATCAAGTTCTAGTAATGGTAGAAAATCACTTAAGTTGGTGTTTTGCACAGTTGATGTCATAAAAATACTAATTTTTAACTGTGGTGTATTCATGTGATGAAATACAGGTGCGTCCATCAAATTAATGTGTCTAAAGACAAAGTATTCTAATGAGGGCGCATGATAGGTTTTTGTTCTAAAGCAGGATATAAAATTACCAGTTTTTGGTTACCAGGTGAAAAAGACTAGGAGGAGCTATGTAAAAAAATTAGCAGGTGATTTGATGAGATAAACATGGTATTTTTTGTGTTACAAGTTAAAAGGTCTAGCATGAAAGAGGTTTATTAAAGTCAAAAAGGTTATTTTAGGACAACAGGAGGCCCCCCAGGCTCCAGTCAGCGGCCCATGCTGTGTCCTGAGCAGGGGAGGAGGTTTTGACTTCTTGTTCATCCCCACTAGGCTGCGTTGAACATTCTAAAGTTACTGTCTGAGTTGGACCAACAAAGCACAGAGATGCCAAGAACGGGAAACGGACCAATGTCTGTGTGAGTGATTCGATTTGCATGGAAAGGCCGTTCTGTTCTTTGTGTTCAGTCTGTCTGCTCAGCTCTGTAGTGCACTTACTGTGTCATCTTCTGTCCCTGAAGGTTTGTGTTTTGGGCAGAGTGCCCTACTTTTCTTTCAGTGTGCAGTAGGCAACACGCTGACATGGCTCAGAACTGTCTTAAAGGCACACTGACGAGTCTGGCCCTGAGTGCCGTGCCACTCTGCCCCTCCCCCCAGCCCACCACGAGACCACACTCGTGTATCCTTTGTTGCTTTTTGCAAATAGAATCAGAGATTCCTTTCCTTTCCCTTGCAACCGCATGCACACATCTTGCGTTTTCCACTTGACATCGTATCCTGGAACACTTCAGCCCTGAGGTCACGCCCTGGGTCCTGTACTCTCTGGGCTTCTCAGTGTGTGCTCATTTAATCTTTAATGTGGGCTTACATTCTTGTAAAATCTCAAAACTGATGTCATTTCTATTTTTTTTTCTTTCTCTTCCTTAAAGGTGTGGGAGGTGCTGAACCTTTTTTTGGCCAGGAACCATTGTAAAGTCCCAACATATATACTGAAAATCCTGAAACTGCTTTGAGAATTGGAATTTCTGATACCTCCAGTGGGCCGAGAGACCTGATGGGTAAAGAACTGGAGACAGCGGTGGTGATGAAAGTGGGACCACAAGGAGGCGGCTGTGGCCACTTGTGCTGGGGTTGTCCCCACCCAGCAGCAGCTGCAGAAGGGGCCTACCCGGCAGCCAGGCATGTCGGAAAAGCCAGTGGGTCCATGTCCCGGTTATTTTCTGCGTGAAAACAGCACGGATCTTTTTTCAAACTGGCTCATCAAACATTTTGGGACAAACTCTGGACACCATGCTGAAGAGAGCCTTAGCCGGCCCGCGCCGAAAGCACCAGATAATCAAATGCTTCCTGCTCAGCACACGCCGACTCTCCTGGTGTGCCGCGGCCACTGCCTCCTGAGCAACCCACCATCACCACTGCTTTCTCTCCCAAAAGATACGTATTCTTAGTTTTATGATTTTCTTTTGATTGAAATGACACTATACAGATTTTCATTTGAGTTTCTCAATTGTATCTAGTTACATAGCAGTTAGAAACTTGTCTGAGACTGACTTTTCAGTAACCTAACTGGCAGAGATCATATCCATGTGTCTGTGGCTATACATTTTTATTTCATTGGACTAACCCAGGACCACTTCAGTGATGGCAACTGTGTTTAGCTGAAAGTCCTGGACTTCTCAGAAACCTTGAAGTCTCCCACTGGTGTATAAATTGGACAATTTAGGAATTTTAAAATTTCAATGATCAGTGGGTTATTTTCTATTTTACCTTTTGTTATTGCAACAGAACTTAAAACAAGTGAGCTTTGATCTTTGTTTTAAAGACTACAGAGACAATTGTGTGTATATACATAAGGCTCTTGAGGATACTTGGTTTCACTACACTACGGGATATGATCTCCATGTTACACGTAAAACTGCAGACTGGTTTTCCTTAAGTGTGTTAAGACAATGTTGATTCCATCTCCATGTAGGACTGAAAGAGGGACCTGTTTCTCTCAGACTGTGTTGCTGTCTCACTGTGCACCAATGCGTACAGTGGCCTGCGTATATCCAGGTAGAGAGCACGGTAGCCTTGCCAGTTAAGTTCTGCTTCAATTCGTTGTTTACGCTGGAATTTTTTCTCCCCATGGAATGTAAGTAAAACTTAGTGTTTGTCACCAATAAATGGTAATACTAAATTTTTTTTTGTTAATTTATTCTCAAAGGCCACTACTGCTAGGTTGGCCCCCTCCCAACCTGCCCCCCCTTTTTTATTTAAAAACAAAAACAACTTTGTAATGCTTATGATTCCATCTGGGTGAGATTCTGAAGATTTGAAATAACTTTATATGAAACCATTGATCAATAAAACAGCTACTAATGAATTCTTGGTCCTGTTGAGCAGTAACTGAAGGGAAGATGTAAGGGTACAGAAGCTTGCCATGGGGGGCACCTGGGCAAGGGGAGATGCCTCGCATCCGAACCTGACATTGGTTGATACCCAGAGAGAGACTTCTCAACACTTCATGTCTCCTCACTCAGCTCAGGTGCTTTCCCACTTGGAAGAAAGGTGAGATGTTGCATCCTAGCCTGGCTGACAAGCAGGCTGGTGGTTTTGTTTTCTTTAGAGGAAGCTCATAAAGGTTCACATAAAACCAGTGCGTGGCCCGGACTGTCAGAATAATTGAAAGTGACCAGCGGGTTGTGGAAAATACCAAGAGGCAGAAAGGAATCCAGCATTGCAGGGAAGAGTTGCCGTGGAGACGTTTTTTCCTTCTCCCTAAAACCAGCCATGCCCCCAAGCTCTAGTCCCTTTGACTGGTAGGTAACAGCCTGAGTGTGTTCATCACCTCTCAGCTGGTGTTTGGAAGTCACCTGACAGCTAGGGAGCGTATGTGTACACTTCCTTGTACTCACTCCCCCAAGCTCTTTGTAGAAAGCCTTCCTCACTGTCTGGTACTTTTTGCACCGTTGAGGCAAGGTCTCCTGGGCCGACCCCCCCCCCCCCCCCGGTCTCCTAGGTGTCTGTCTAGGATGCACTCACTGCTCATGCTGCTGTAGGGCTCAGCCGCCGCCCTCTGCATAGGGTAGATGGGAATGCTAAGACAGCTCTAGTTGAATGTTTATGCTGGGAAGTCCCTTCTTTATTATTCAGGGTTTTACTATGAATGTTTCCAAGTTTCTTTGGTAATACTTGCCTGCTTTGGAAAGATGTTTTTGAATACCCTGCGCTGCTGCGTGCCCCTCTTCATCTGGACAGGCTTGGGAGAGCTGCCTGAAGTTCTCATCTCAACATTTTCTTGAGAATTCTTAGAACCTTAGAGCCAAATCTGGGTGCTTCAGCCCTTGGAATAATACATGATCTCCTGGTTCCTAGACTGTCAGGGAAGCAGAGAGGAAGGCAGCTGAGGCAAGACTGAAACAAAGGACTGCAGTGCCAGTCCTGTGGCATTGGTGCGGAAGAGTGCTCGTGGTGGGGTGGAGGGCTCCACTGCCCCTTGGCCAGTGAGGTGGCAGGCTATCATGCCTTTGTAAAGTTCTCTTCCACAGCAGAGCCGGTGTGGAGAGTGTAGCTTTCCAGGGCACACGCCTACCTGGACCCAGCTGTCAGGTCTCTTAGGCCACTGCTGCTGTAGCAGTGCCAAGCAGCTCAGGAGAGCCTGACCATCCAGGGAGGATACTTAAAAACTTCCATTACTGTCATCTGGTGATGATCGTGTTTAAAGGGCTTTAATGTCAGTGTACCCTTAAAAACACAACTTGAAATGCCCAAGCACTTAGGCATTGCTGGAGTGGCAGGAAGGAGTTACCCAAATTTCTTAAATGGACTTTGAAAGAAGGGGATGTTCATCTAAAGGGCCATGGCCAACCCAGATAGGTTGTGACCCATGGAAGCAACTGAGCTTCTTGGGATTTTGCATTGGTATGTGTGGCGTGTAGAGTGCACGGACGAGAATTTTAACTGTTCAAGCAGTTTCCTGATCAGCCTTTTTGACAAAATGGCATTCCAGCCCATTCTCTCAGGAATATTCATCAAAACTGCCTTTGATCTAAATACTTACCAGTCTTGCACCAGCAGTAAAACAGTCCTTACATTGTGGTAACTTAATATAAATCCTATGGTTTCCTCTTCTTGCAGTTTTTCAAAATGTTGAGCTGTGGGATGGAGCAACTGTTGGGGGGGGAGCAACCATCAAGGACAGCTTGGCTAGAGGACGTGTAGTCCTTGATTGATGGTTGCTCCCCTTAGACAGTGGGGGAAGGTCTCTGTTGACACCCCTGATGCTGGGTGGGTCAGTGTGTGGCCTGTAGCTGTGACCACTCCTTTGTTGCATCTTCAGGCTGCTGCTTTCCTAACCACAGATGAGTTCTGGCTGCCTGACGGCCTTCCCAGGATGCCAAGTCTGTGGTCTCATTGCTTTTTCTGTGCAAACTCTGTACTCCGCAGGGTGGCTACCCTGTGCGCTGAGTGCGTCTCACCTAGTGGTCTCTCACACGGCTGGAAATCCATGAACATACCCGCTGAAAAAGTGGTTGGCCAGCCATGCTGACTTCCTGCACCCAAGGCCCACGTTGCTTTTGGCCATGTTGTACTACATTTGACAGCGTTTTTTTGGTTCAGCCAGCTTGTCACCTGAATGACACAAGGTGGTTTGACATCTGTTACTCATGGATGAGGCTTCTGTGCCAGAAGTGCAAAAACCATAAGCACATCATCTCAGGAAGGCCAATGGTAAAAATGGTCCCATAGGCAGAGGCGTAATCCAAGCCAAAGCTGGTCGGAGGCCTGCACACAAATAGGGATGGCTGTGGCCTAAGGCTAGCTGTTCCAAACCGACTCGGTCACTTCCGCAGGGATCCCTGACGCCTCACCTCAGTTTTTCTATCTGTAAATTGGAAGACTCACGAAGGTGTCATCACTGCTTAGGAAATACCTTCTGTGTTCCATACCCAGGTGCTTGGAAAGCGGTTGCTCGCAGTTTGCTTTTCTAATTCCACTCAGGATGGACAGTGGAGGAATCTACCCAGTTCCCAGAGGGAGACTGCAGGCTGCAGGGGTCTCCCAAGAAAACATGGGTAGACCTTGTTTGTGAGCAAGAATCTGGAGCATGTCTGCTATAACCCGAGGGATGGAGTTGTGGGGGAGGCCCACTGGGCCTACCTGCTACAGGTACCTTCGTCTTGTACCTTCTCTACTCGCGATCCCGTCTTCATTTTGAGGACCAAGTTTAGGTCGCCACTTCCCAAACCCTACCTTGACAGCTACGCGATTTTTCAACTTCACTTTATCCTCGGTTTACCCTAAGTCATGGTTCACCAAATTGAGCAGTGACCTTTGGGTTACTTGGGCTGCAGCAAGATGTCTGGAGTTCAAGGGCATTTCCAATAACCTTAAGCAATAAAGCCCATGAAACTGCTACTTTTTTTTTTTCCTGATAAGGAACATTAATAACCACAAATGACAGTAACTCCTCAGGTCAGGTCTTAGCGATAAATGCTGTTAAAGGCTCAATGGTGGCAGCTTTGCAAACAAAGCTGCCCAGAGCCACCCTGGCCCTGAGGCAGTGTTCTGGCATCCTGTATGGTAGGAAGGGGCAGAGTGTAAGGGGTGCAGTCCTAAGGCTAGGGGTTCGGAATACCCATCCTGTGGTGGTCACCTTAGTTTGCTGCCAACTTCGCTTCTTGAGAAGGCTGGGCAGCCCCCCTACCCAGCAGGCTCCGGCCGTAGATCTACAGTCTGAGAGGCTGTCCAGAGGGGACTGGCTGTCCAGCCTCCCTAAGGAGACATGTGGCCTGGCCGTCCCCTGCTGTGTGGCAGTTCTCTTCTACCTGCCCTGCAGACCCACTTGGACACAGATCAAGATCTGTCTTATCTGACACTGCTGCAGAAACCTGTGTTCTTGGGAGCTGAGCCGTTTCCCACTGGCCTCAGAAAGGTGGACCTTGACACTTACAAGGAGGTGAGCTGCCTTTCCAGTGCCAGGTAGGTAAGTCTCTTCTCATTTTGGCTCTGACTTCCGCAGCAGGTATCAGATAATTTTTAAAGAAAGTGGAGGTTCTTTTTTTTACCTGGAAAGTGAGTGCTGCCATGTTCATGAAGCTCCTTTATTCTTCTCAAGATCAGTCCTACGGAGAACACCCCAGGATAGATTTTAAGGGGGAGTCTTGCCTTACATTCACACGCCAGGGCCATCGAATTTCTTGGACAAAGAGCCAAAGCAAGAAGGGTTATAAAGCAGATGTCCGGCATTTCTGAAATAGAACAAAAGGTCACATCCAACAGATGGGCTAGACACAGGGAAATGCAGACAGAGGCAGGACTGTCGCAGTGAAAACACTATTCTCACAGCAAAGGTGTTAGTCAGGCCCTTACTGAAGACTAACCCAGGCAGCACCCAACTGCAGGATCAGGGCAATTCCTAAATTTTTAGGATTAAGGATGTGGCCCTGTCAGATTCTCAGATCACTCACTCACTACCAGGTATCCAGTTCCTATGGACGCTGGGAGGAGGTGGTTGAGTGCTAGCATCTGCCTGAAGACATACTGGCCCACGGAAGCCAAGGAGCTACAGAGCACCTCAGGAGAGTGGGAGAAAGGTCAAGCAACAAAAATGAAAAAGAAAGCTGATAGAACTCCAAGGAAAGATGACCAGTAAGGGGCCAAATGTGACACAAGCTAAAGTGCTTGAACAACTGAAGGTGTGTGAGGAAAAACTAATCCACTTGACTCCACCATCTCGGATGAACATTCTCTTTTGAGTGGAGCAGAAATCAGGATGTCGGACCTGGAGAAGAGGAAACGTAATCTTTAAACACTGGGTGGGGCACAGCATGGAACACAATTCACACCATGGTAGCTCAGGTATTTTATCAGTTCTCACCTTTCATGAGGGACCTACAGAGAAGGCACAGGAAACATGGGGCTGCTGGACAGAACGACAGTGCCCACGTGAAATGAGGGTGAAGCTGACGAGCTAGAGTGGTGGAGGCATTCTTGTCTTAAACAGATTTCTAGAGATGTGGCCACAAATAATGGGATAAGAGTTAGAGATAAAAAGAACCACTTAAGCAGCCTGAAATTTACAAAACTATATCACTGTATTAGCAGTTTGAAATTATTTTTCTTAACAGGGAGTTACCTGAAGTCTTGAGGCTAATGTGTCGTCAAGATGAGCACACTAGAGGTGGTACTGGGTAAAACCTGTTGCTTCCAAGAGGGTCAGCAGGGACAGGGTAGAAATCCAGTGTCCAGTTATGGAAGCCCTGCTAGACATTTTGGGCGAATACTACAATGGTCATGCTCCACAGGTAGCAAAAAGAAATGCCATTTTCTCCCATCTAAAGAAAGTAAATGATGCAGTGTGGGGCAGGGGCGTGC